TGCACTTGTGCATGCTAACTGAATACTGTTACCATGCAAATAGTAAAATCTATGCCAGTCGCGTAGTAACTAAAAATACAGTGAACGTTATAGCACCATGATTTCAGCATGAAACAGGTCAAAAATATAGGCTTGCAGTGGTATTCTAACTTGTTAGCTCATTTTGCTTTGCATTGTTGTTGGGTGATAAGAAAATCCATTTTTGGCTGCAATTATTTGCAGTTTATTATTCTTCAACATTTCTTTACCACTAATAAAAAATGAACGTTCTGGGGATTCATAAGTTTAATCCAAACCACTCCCACATGAGTTTGTCAGCTCAACTTCCTCTATGCAAATGCGTGCCAGTTCTAAGTCTCACTAGTGCGCTGTCCACTTGAAATGATAACGTCGTCTGGACCGGTGATTGCCACCGCCTGTCTGACAAATGGCGATAGGAAAACCAAATTCCCCATGGAAAAAAACGAACATAAAGTTTTCACGAATCACTTTCGAACATCAGCATGGGGTGTGAAACCTGAGTGGGCACATGTTCAACCTCAAGTAATGCAATTCATCCTTCGTCAGACAGCTTGGTAAAACGGCACCAGATATCCAGATAAGATATTCTAATGAAGCATCCATGCAGTTAAATATTAGCTCACTTTTTGGCTTGCTCAAGTGATCAAATACATCATGTTGAAAAATTCGTACAGTTGTAAATGAATACGCCACGCCATAATTTTGCATATTTCTTTTGTTACTTGAACATCCTTATTTGAGATGTTTTCTTGTCGTTGCACCTGTAAATACTTATATCACTGACCAACATTTTAATAAATAAGCAAGATTGATAAACTGGTGGTGAACCAGACGATTGTTACGGTTCTATGGGTTCCTATATGCCAACAGGTTGGATGAATTTCTTGCATGACTTCATGCCTTATTCACTTACCACCACACAGTGAGCTCTGAATATCCGTTTTTCTAATCGTTAGATTGTACACTTCCATGATACTAGCTTTGCTCGTAAATGATCTGCTAAAGAGTACGAGTAGTCATAATATAATATTCCTGTTCAGATTTTGTCTCAAAAGTAGCAAGTAAGTGTCCCTTTAAGTAATATTAAAGAAAACTCAACTTTTTATAAATATCATACCTATTTCGTATACGCGCAGTTACAACAGGTGACCTTTAGACTTGAGAAAACTGGTAAGCTTTGCATAAGAAACGTATGAGATCCCATTTCGAAAACAATAAAGCGTAACTTATTCAGATCGAAATGTGTATGAACACCGCACCCAATTTGAAAGACTGGCACAGCTTACACTACATCCGGAAGAACGATAATATGTGGCAAATCAAGATGTTCGTCGAAACTGTCGATCACGCACTAACCAATCTAGGACAGAAGATTAAATCATCTTTTTCACTAATCTAAGTTACTCATCAAGAACACAGATTTGAACTGGAGAAAAATTTTTGCAGCATGACTGAGGATGTCTAGAAAACCTTACTAGGCGGTTTAAAATAAGTGTGATAAAAACTAGCACATGTGCAGACGTGTCCGCGAGCAGCCATTTAAACAAAATTACTACGGTTTTTATCATTCTTGCTGTTTTGCTAGTAGCGTAAATATACAGACTCATCTATCACAAAAACATTTGCGTCGATTGTAATAACTTTATACATGGATTTGTATATGCTATCTTAATGTGGGTGGGGTAATGCCTTTAAATAAACGCCGTTGAGAACGAACAATGGAAACGTATCTGAGGAAGAATGGGTACACCAGATGGTCATTTCACCACATAACACACTATTCCTTCAGGCACGTCTGCACCTGAAAATCCTAGCAGAAATACCTCAGAATGAAACTCGATTACTTAACCGACTGATTATACCAACGGCCTGATAGAGGCTTGCTAAGGCGTTTGACATCTAGAGCCATTCGATACCCGTATATCCTTGTCCAAGCTCAGTATAGGTAAAGAGAGTGAACTAGGTCACAGTTGGTTCGATACTAAAATAATATTTACAGTAAATTCTAGACATTGCTTCCAGGCAGCTTTTGGGCTCATGTTGTACGCATTGGATTCAACTTGTTGGGTCCAGCTATGTAGTCAAACTCTATGGTGGGCAGTGAACAGATGTGCGGTGTATACATACGTACCGGATTAAATTATCGGCGATGATATAAGGGTAAGGATTCAACACCTGTGTTAAGGCTTTGCAAATGAATGTTGGTGACGAAAAATTCCAAGCATTTAGCGCTACATAATTTTAGCTTAATCTGCACAAAAGCAATGGTTTTACAAGCAAGCACTTGTCTATTTAATGCTCTTGCCCTGAAGGTTATTTTTGTCCTTTATAAAACGAGCACACGATTTTGACGGAAATATAGATGTGTATAGTGGTGCTAGTAAATCTATGAAGTAACTGTAAATGTAAATGTTTAATGTTAGCTCTGGCTTTCTACTTTAGTCGCTAAACATAGAATCCTAAAAGACCTGGCAGCATTGTAAGATCCGTTGAGCCCTCATTTGATAAAGTGAGAGTTCACTGTCATTTCGGACCTACAGTAACGTGCGGATATTTCAAGCCGATGAAAAAGAGTAAATTAATATTGATATAAAGCGGATGAGATATCCAGATGCCTATCCCTTTAAAATAGCAAGATCGTAACGTGATTATGCATTATAAACCTGATTCTTGTGTCAAAATGTCCAAGAATATTACAACATAACTGTAGCGAAAAATCAATCCAGGTCATTTGTGTGTAGTAGCAGCTGAGAAAAAGCAGTTTTTATAGTACAAATATGTAGTAATTTTAGTTGCTCACTCGACTTCTTTTGCTACAACTGACCACACATGACGCTGTTTATCAATTTTGGATAAGATGCAAGAACATTCATATTTTACCTAAAAATACTTGCAGACCATTTAGATCAATTAGGTTAGGGGTTAAATAATAAATATTGAACATACCGGTATGGGCACACACGTGATTTTTTGTCTTGAGTTATCACAGGGGATCCCTTGAGTGGACAGTGACTCCAGTGTGGTTGGTGTGGTCAAAGTAGAGGTTAAAGTAGTATAAGTCTTGTGTGAAAATTTCACTGGCATTTTCAGTGAATAGGTATCCTCTGGAGTAAATTGGAATGATAACGAGTTAAGCACAGTGTCTTCAGTAATCCCTTGCTGAGACTCGCATCGAGGTACAACATCACACATGGTGGTTATTAGTTGCAAACCTATGTTATTTGGATTGTTTTGCTGCCGTTTATTTCTATTTGGGCAAGGAAATACATCATTTGTTGTGAAAGCAAACTCTTGCACGGATTTGTTGAACAATGTTGCAGGGCTGCAACGTGTTTGCGCCACATTACTTGCCGTTTTAGCCTCTGTACTTCCAACTGCTACAGCGTCAACACTGGTCAACAAAGGAGTGAATGTGCCACAGGCATTTTTGGCAAGTGTTTCGTTTTGTGTTAGCAGAAGAGAAGGTTTAACCTCCCTATCTTCCATCAACCACTTGGAACAGTCTCCACTGCACACAGGTTGGGTAATGTCTGCGAAGCTTCTTTGTTCAGTTAGTCTGCTCTTTCGACGTTTCGACTGGGCCCACAACAATGCAGCTGCCAAAGCACATACAAAAGTAATGGCAAATATAGCCACAAGCGCGGCAATTATCGCGTTACTCACAGTGACACTGCCAAAAGAATTGTCTGAATCTGCCGGAAGTTCATCATGAAATGCTGTTACATCTCCAACAACCACAGAGTTCTTTGTAATTGAGTCGATGGACGAATCAGTGTCGGTTACAATTCCAAAATTCTCCATCCCTGTAGCGTCGGATGGCCAGAGTGCGTAACCGTTCAACTTGGCCACCGGCACATCTATTTTCATCCAGAATTGTACAAACGTGCTTAATGGAGGTTTGCCATTATCTGAGATTTTGAGTTGGATATGATATATACCTATTGAAGGAATCCATTGAAAATCTGAAATTGTCAGCGTAGCCTCGGTGGTTGTTTGCTTAACCCGTTGCAGTTTGAAGTGTAATTCGCCGGATTTGTCATTTACACTGAAATATTGCGATCCGTTACACTGTGGGAGGATTTCAAAGGACATTTCAGCATTTAAACCGATATCCTTGTCTTCCGCTTCAAGTTTTAATACAGTGGGTGCTGTGATATAGTCTGAAAAATGCATATTTGATAGGTGCTTGTATTCTTTGATTAATGTCGAAAGATTCGTTATATATGGAACAGTTTCTGAAGTTTGCGCAGTAGTAGTTATCTTGTATAATCTAAGCTTTTCTGGATGATTTATCAGTGCTGGCTGAATCACTATGGTAGAGTTCGGTTCAGGATGGCGCAAGATTGGGGCGTGGTCATTAATATCGATTATGCGTACAGTCACCGTCGCAGTGGTTTCTAATTGCAACACTTCTCCACCATCAATCGCCAAAACGCGCAGGTGAAAAATTGGAGTTTTCTCTCTGTCGATCGACTGCATGGTTACAAGTTGGCCTGCGTCGGTAAGTTTAAAAAAATGTGACGCGTTCATTCTGTTATCCAAAAACGATTGAACGTCGACTGCCATACTTCCAGCATTCACACCAACAGACACGTCAGACAGCAAACCCTGAATTTGCACTACACCTCCAGTGCCCGTATCCGCATCGGTGAACCGAATTACGCCAACATTCGTGCCGATAGGCACATGTTCCACCAGCGCAAATTCGCTCGGCCCAACCAGTGTTGGAGCATTGTCATTAATATCCAGTATATTTACTCGAACCGCGACAGTGGCGGTGTGCCGATTATGTTCTGCGCCGTTTGGGTTATCCATCGCTATCACTCCGAATGTCATACTATGTGATATCTCATAGTCAAGTCGTCTTGTTAAAAATATCCCGCCAGTATCTTCATCTATGGTAAAGTACGAACGAAAACCAAATAGATCGAAAGGGCCCACAGAACCAAATTGATTTTTAAGTGAAATGTCGAGATCTGTTAGGCTGTAAACAATTCTACCATACTCACCGCTATCGGCATCGTCGGCTAAAACAACATAAACAAGATTGTTTGATGGCTCGGCCTCGCTTACACTAACATTATATAGTCTCATTTGCCCTGAGTTGTCTAAATGAAATATTGGGGAGTTATCGTTCACGTCCTTTACCAGAACTGTCATATTAAATCTTCTTATTTGCCGTGGTTCCACGAAATCTGTGCATGTTATCCCATAGTACAACCTCGGTGTCTCCTCAAAATCGATGCTTGATTTAGTATAAATGCTGAAAATAGTTCCGTCGGGCGACTTTTCGTATCGCAGAGGAACTTGTAGATTGGAATCAGGTTCACAACTAACACTGTTAGATGATACCTCATCTAAGTCTCTTAGCAACAGCCTTAGCGCCAGTTGGTTTGGCTCCGTGTTTTCCACGATGGTGTGGTTTGCCTGCACTACCAATTCGGGTGGATTGTCGTTGATATCTTGTACTACGATCGCCAGTGTCATCGTGGCTGAAAGTGGTGGGTTCCCAGCATCATATGCGATGAAGGTAAGCTCAATTCTCCGTTCTTCATAGCTCTCGTAATCCAACGTTTGCCGTAGGTAGAGTTCACCGGTCACAGGATGTAAGGAAAAGCGTCGCCGAACGGAATCTGGCATTGTGGGGTAACTGGAACCGAACATATAACGAATCATACCGTTGTCATCTGAATCCAAATCGGATGCATGAACCACATAGATTGGTTCAGAGTACATAGTATGTTCGGCCAATTGTATGGAATGCTTTGGACTCTCAAACACGGGCACATTGTCGTTCAGATCTGTGATGTGAATCATAATCAACATCTCTCCCCTGCGGGGTGGCGAACCTCCATCACGGGCTTCTACTGTCAATTTAAAAATACGCTCGGCAAGATTTTCATGATCTATCCGAGCTCCTGGTTGAACAATAACCGCTAGTTGACCTGTGGTCTCATTGCTATACAGTGCAAATGTTCGTTTTGTCACGGTGCTTCCGATAAGTGCATAAGCAATTACACCGTTCGGTTCGGAATCGTAGTCATGCGCATGGGGTATTCCATACATAGTACCTATAATGTCAGGATTACGTTCTGCAGGTGCTTTCTCTAGTGCGTTGTTCTCTGGAATCCAAATGGAAAAGGTTTCTTGCGGAAATCGAGGCTCATTGTCATTGGTATCATGAAACTGCAGATTTACCTGTACGGATAGAGTTTTCCATCGTGGATGCACAAACAGCACTGTAAACGTTAGATTGCACACAAGGAGTTTGCAACAATTTAGCGGACCACACAGCTGATCGGGATTGTCACGGTCCAACGAAGTCGACGTATATAAATCGCCCGAATCGGAGGCGTGCACTAAACGTGGAGCTAATCCAGCCGCATCTATCACAGTGGTGCTCACAGAAAAGTCGGATCCACTGTTAAGGGGAAAAGTTGGAAGCTGATCTGGGATATTTCCAATAAAATGGTTGGAGGGTAGCTCATCGGGTAGAACAAAATTAACTTTGTAGCTTCCAGAGTTTGAAGCGGTGGCCTGGGAAGGTCTCTTCGAACGCAAAGCATGCAGGCTCGATGTGAATTCCACCAGCACAGTCACCAGCATTGTGATGAGAAACTGAAACTGTGGGTTAAAATCAGTCACGAACATAATCATAGAATTGTTGCTGGCTGGAGTCTCAGTGGCTCCAGCGAGTGAGAACGGTGCGCTTCGATGAGATTATCCCGGAACCGAAATACAGAATGTTCCGTGTGAGCTTGCATGTCAGTTCAGCAGAATGTTTAGGAAGTAGTTTGTATCCGGGGCTGAAATAAGATATCAGATACACAGATATTGTAACACCACTTTTACTCCTATAAAAAATGGATAGGCAGAAATAACAGTCAGATAAACAATAGCATTTGGATACAATATAAATATAGCTTTTATAAGCTCTTGGTATTTAACCCACCTTTAGTTTGGGACAAAAATATCCTAGACATGAATTTTATAGATTTGCCTAAGAGTGGTATAATTTGATTTCCATATATGATAGCAAGCCGCATTTGCAGCTAATCATGTATCAACAGTGTGAGATTCCAGAAGATAGAACACAAATTTGCGGCACATTCATCCTTAAGTTTTTCAATTATATAAAATGCTAAATTCACATTTAGCGAAATAAGCTGTTTGGATCTGTCAGTTGGTGTGACAGACAATATAAAATGAAAATTATATATTAGTACATTAAAGCATCACTACTAAAATTTAGCCGCAAAGTTACAATATACGCGTGCCTATATTCCGATGTTAAACAACCGGTTTTTTACCAAATGCGTTTGATCAGGACGAGAAAAACACGAAAGCTTGCCGTCGAGTTGTGGAAACATTAAAAGTTTCAAATCGTCCTGACGCCTTTTGTCCCCAATCTTTTGGTAGTGACTGTTTGTATTTTACGAGTTAGCGGATGTTTTGCCTCGGTTGAAGAAATTGCATGCAGAGAAGCAATCGTGGTGATGTAAATTGTCAGCAAGATAAAAAGTCTTTTGCTTTTCATCACCATACAAACCATTGTAGCTAGGTGGGAGTAGATTACTCAACTGTTATTTATTTTCCCATACCCATATATGATGTATAAACAAAAGGGTTTACTTTTATTTCTTTTATCGTTGTGCATGTGACGAGCATCGGAATGTGATTTACCATATACGCATTTGTACACTGGAACAAAAAGATAAGCTTAACACACTCCAGTGAAAGCAAATCAAATGCTCGTGTCATCTGAATGTCCAGTGGACATGTTGCCTTGACAGATGAGAAGGACTCTTACCGAAATGCACACTTCCATACCGATAACATCACACACGGTGTGTAGGAATTTGAGCCTAGGAAATAGAGATATTAAACTCTCCCATCAATTTGTACAATCACAGATCCACTTGAAATATTTGACGAAGTTTATAACTTTTGTCCATCATTTGCGGTCGATCAGATTACGGACAACGAAACAGTGCTAAATGTGATCGGTTTCGCTTAAGCGGGGAAAAAGCGCAACTATTCCAAAGTTAAGCAGTTTAAGACAATTACTAAACTATAAACTTAACAACGTTGTTTAATATAATATGGGCAGGTCAAAACTGTGGACAAAATTCGCCATTTGCGACTCTTTTTTAAAGTTAATTGTTTTACATTATTTTAATATCTATTGAGGTACAGAAGATGATGTATTGATAATACCAAAGGAAATCTAAGCTCTTGCATAAGTTAGTTATTGTCCATATAGACAACACAGATTGATTCTGGAACACTAATTCCGAAATTTTCGACATAAATTCTTACAACACATTGCGAGCATCGTGCTCAGCAACCTATGGATGAATGGTTCATCGTAACCGTACATATTAGGGCAAAATTACCTAAAAATGCTCTTATTATCCGCACACCTTTAAGCCACTGTTTACAAACTCATTGGACAACATTAATAAGAACAAACTACAATAGAAAAACGAGAATTGGTATTGGTTTGTGACCATTTTCGCTAAAAAGAAATAGACTTCGGTTACACACAGCCAATTTTAATTTTGGTAATGTGTTAAGCTCAGTAAGTATCGGTGCAAACACCTGCTTATTTTAAAATAACGAACATTTGTGCAACGCGGCTACATTAAATAACGCAACGTCCTATTTTCATAAATATCTTTCTCCATCTAGTTGTGCTTGCAAAAGTGGATAATTCTCGTTCTAGCAACAATGCTGGCTATACAAAGCATTCTACCCAAAAACTTGATATTTTACCTTGAGCAATCACAATTTACCTACAGTGCAAATTTGTTATCTTTCGTTTAGGCAAGTTTGTCTACTACAAATGCTTGCGGTACGAAGTGGGATATATTTATTATCTTGTTTGGAGTTTAGGCGAACAGTTGCAAAATATGAATTTATTACTTTACAAGGATAGTTTGTGCACTGCCAAAAAAGTAGGTTCAATATCCTCATAATCAATTTTATGCAAACAAGGAGTGCATGCTCTTTTATCTTTCTGATTTATAGATATCACTAATCTAAATGGGTTGCCCTTCGTTTAAACATTTTGTGTACTTTAGGATTTTACTCTAAATGAAGAAATACTCCGCATTACTCAACTGTGCATGGCTTTTCTACGCCAAGCACTTTATTTTGAAATCTCAAACATCAGTTACTTGTGCATTGTTCATTCCAAAATTATATCAACATAGATAGATGGATAAGAAACAACTGAGTTTCTGTAGCCGGTTAAAGTCCTTCATTGTTTCAACTACTTCTTGATTGTTTAGACCTAGTGGCGGCCCTAAAATTACGGTAATTTTAAGAAACCATAAACAGCTCTTTGCCATGTAGTGTGTAAAGGCTGCTTTTAAAATAGACCAAGCAATAAAGTACATAAGTGTACTGATTCATTTGTTACAAATTTGCCATTCAGCACATGTCTAAAAAGAATGCTTCGCCTTTTAACCTAGCAGTGATAATTGTGACGTATGTCGAAACTTACCAGCTCAATCTTTGAGTAGTTTACTGTTTCAGTGACCAGTTTATTGCTGCAAATAAAGATATTAACAGCTTTTGGTATATCTTCTAAAAAGCTATTGTAAAAATGTAGCTCAGGCGTGCGACCAAGTTATTCGGGTATCACGCAATAGAATTGGTCCTTGTAGCTAAGCTGTTGTCTAGCAAACAGAACCATTGAGCGTTTTATTCAAATCTATTAGAATATAGTACAGAAGACGCTGGTAATTATTTTATGCATAAACGCAAATTTAAATGACGCATTAGATCAAGTTGTACATTTGTACAGCATAAACAAATATGGACACGTAAATAACTGTGACATGAAATTAAACGACTTTAATTTTGCAAGCTATATTAAGTCAACCAACTTGCACCGGTAAATACGTAACACCCAAATTTATTGCAAAAGTTAGCTTAAAATTATAAACGTTTGGTAACCTTACATTCAAAATGAATTGTAGGAGCAATAAAGCCATGCTGCTACGGTTACCAATTTTTAAAAATATATGTATTAAGACATCCAAAGCATTAAAATTAGCAGGTTGAATTTAAAGTAACTTACGTAAGCTTCTCTCTGAAGCAACGCGCAATACCACTCTTCCTCAGCGAATACGGTCTTCTACTGAATTGTCGAAAATGCAATCCTCCGAGCAAATGCCGTACTGCACCCAATTTCGCAATTTGGCCTAATAACCGTAACCTATTGGTCAAGGCTGGACCAATCAAGAGTCATACTGCATTCTCCAAGGAACAGGTGCGCCGAGGACAAGTTTGCTTAGGAGCTGTGGAACAGCCGCGTGAATCGGAGTGTTGCTTTCGATTTAGCTGTTTACCGCCTAATTATACTAATCGCAGTGAAGTGTGGTATAAACATTCATCCTATGTAAGGCAAACAATAAAAAAATCAACAAGGAGGAGGCAAAGGAAAAGAAGTTAAGATATTAAGAAGGCATTTTTATCAACTAGAATAGGAACACTATGAAACGGCTGGGGTGATAAATTTATTACAAAGTTTCCATAGAATCTCTGCTTTGAGCTTAGTTGCTTTGCGGTTATTAGATACATGAGCACTTATGGAAGCACACATAAATTTGGCAATGCTAATAACAGCCACAGTACGAATACATCCGACTAGGCGATGTTATGGAAAATTACAGACACCGATATACACAGTCGACGACTAGGGTTGCAGTATCATCAGTGAAACATTCTTGATTAAATGGGCAAGTACTTTGACAAAATTGTTGTCTAGGGACCCCGAGCGAGAACACGGTAGTTATCGCATCGTCCTTCATAAAAATGTTTAATGTTAGTGAAAGACGCAAAGTGGGCTCTAAGAACCCATGGAAACTAACAAACTCAGCAAAGCTAAACAGAGATAGATTTCACTCTATGCTAACCGGTTTGCATTTAATTAAAACAAAACTAATGGAGAGTTGAAAACTACATACGTTACACAACGTTGATTTCTTCGACAAGTTCGCCTGATGGAAGCAAGTGATAGCTTTGTTATTTATCTCTATTTTTAAAGTTCGTAGATGTGCCGCCAAATTTATGGAATAGGTAGATATGTCATGAAACATATGTTAATACTTGGAAGGTTTTACGCAGTCCTTCACACCTAACGTTGCAAATAATCCTAAGTTGATACGAAATTTATCTACACGGTTTTTACACATAACTTTGCAGTACGTTCTTTGACAAAACAGATGACGCGTTAACCACACAATAATTCGTTTCTTCCAGTCAAGTTATGTCGGGAAATGTGGCTTGGTTAACCGCGGATATAACAAGCATAGTAACAAGTGCAACATGTCTAGTAGTTCTTTCAGTAAAACATTAATTTCCTTGTTATTTCAGCACCTGTAGTATTTTCATGATTGGGATGTTAAATCAAGGAAGGCGGAATTATATAGTGGAACTGTGAATTGCTAAACCACAAGGATTGCGAGCTGGCTTCTCATACTTTTGATTATGCTGTTACATAGATGCTTCTCGTACATTTCCACTCCACTTTCTGTTAGTTACTTCTTCTCATTAATCAAATATATCTAAGTAGTTTTGGCAAAATTGCGACAAGCCCGGATGAATGGTTAGTGAAAAAATGAGAACAGAAACGTAAGGGTAAAGTCATAGCGGTTCCATTCGTGCTTGAGATTACCTATAAACACAAGTAGCCCCAAATTTCACACTTGCCTGAGTCATTCGAACGGTTGCAATGTATGCTATTACACAACTCCGGAAAAGACAGGCCTTCGTTTGACAAGTATATTCCCTATTTTTCCACACTGCATTAGCCGGGCTGAAAAACAACCAGATACATATGTTGTGTGTTTCACTATAACCACAATATATGCCTGCAAGTTGCAAGGGTTGGCCGGTGGTTGAACTGTGAAGCACTGGTAAAAAAAAGCATTTAGTTGTTCCTGATATAATATACAAGGTGGAGACATTTTTGTACTAAGCGCAATTTACAAAAGTGTTTATCAAATATCACTTCTGCGAAGTTGGAAATCGAGGCTGCGGCATATCATCAATAAACTAGTTTATTGTAATAAAATATAATGCTTCAAACGTAACAACTGCTACATACATAAAAACTCGATTGTTGGACCAGAATACATAAACTGGTATGCATAATTTTATGGAGGGCTCCTTTAGCGTGCAGGAAGCTTAACTAAAACAGCCCTTTTTCCTTACAACCTCAAAAGCTTTCTTTATAAAGAAAGGGTCAATGGAAGCAAATATAATCATCAAGCATCTTTTTGAGAAACAAGCTAGAAAAGACATTATCCCATCGCTTAGCACCTAAAGCAAGGTGTTTTCATTGTACATTAAACTGTAAATTAACCATGTCTGCAAGACCCAAGATTTTCTCTAATATTAATACCGCTAGTATTGGTACTAAATCTGCGTTTTCGTAATGGAATGATTTTCCTCATTTCAAGCTGTTGAGGAGCCTACCGTGCTCTTTTATTTAATAAATCTACACTGCAAATCCATCACACTTGTTTAAACTAGCACTACTTTAAAACTTTAAACAACTCCTTGTTTGCAACTTACTAAAATGGTAACACTGATTTTCATTATCGCAAGGACCTCTCTGTCATTTTCCAATTAACTAGCTTGTTTAAAGTAACATCCATTTCAAACGCCGTACCGCCTAATTGATTTCATTCCTTTGTAATCACTAAGCACTGTCTTTAAGATAAATTTTGAAAAATGACTCCAATCAATTGACACACTATTGTGAGAAATCCACGTTCTACGCAGCCCATACTGGTATTCCTCCACATTTTTTCGTGTGCATGCGACTAATAAAAATAGAATTTACAGCCTACAAGTATATCTTGCTCCGATTTCTAATATATCCCATCGCCACAGACGCACTGAATGCATCTATTTTAACTGCTTGCATACCATATAACTGTGTTACAGTTAACAAGCTGTTGTCACGCAAGCTAAACTTTTCTGCCTCAGTGAAAAACTATGCGAAACCTTATCATAGAATATATCATCAAATTTTATAAAATGAAAGATTCAGTAGCTTAGAAAATGTCATTTGTTTCACATTGTTTTCGGACCAATTTGTCGAAACAAGCACCAACAGATAAATTTTACCAAACACAATACAAATGCAAAGTTTATCCGCATCAAAATCCGGCTTGATGTTGCAAAGACAAACGCTAATTGCCAGCGAACTGACTTGCTGAGCTGCTGAATCAAATTTAGGTTTGTTCGGCACCAGTTTTGCCGCATCCAGCGCAAAACATAAAGCTGGAGATGTCGAAAAATGAAAAGCTGTGGGCACATTGTAATTAGACACAGAAACCGGATGTGTGCGAATAGGTTGGCCGTTGTTTCGGTAAAGAAGCAAAATATTTACGTGTTTAAGTTACGCAACGGATAGAAGGGAGGGACGTCACCTGAGTTGCATAAAGTAGTCGGGACAGATTTCCTTAAATCTTCATTCATCCGCATTAGCGTCAGCAAATTTTCCAACTGCCTTAGCTAAATGAGTGTAAATGTAGAGCATTCAATCAAACCTTGAATAATTATAACCTTTTTCTAAAAGTAGGTCTATCCAATACGAAAGAACTGCACTAGGCCTTTTCTACTGAAATCTATGTTGTGAGTTGGAAGTAACGGCGGTAATCGCTTAAAGCAAAAACCAAAAATACCAAAATGTATTAACTTACTCCACATGGGGAACAGCATGCGGTAAGTGGCACACTGGTAGGCACCTCGAGGTTTTGCACTTAACATAATGTAGAAGTTAGAAAAATGATTGAACTTTATTTTATATTGGTATAAAATTATTGAACTTCGCCGTTCATAAATCGATCAGCTAATTTTGCTGGCAAATTAATTTATACATTGCAATGCATAAATTCAGCAAAATCAAATTATCCCAACGCGCTTATGGCGTAAAGAACCCACAATTTATATTCTTTAAAGCAAGGGTTAAAATGATTCTGTTTGCATTTTGCTGGTTGCTCAAAGGGGGAAATAAACACATAATCTTCTTATGGAAATTGTCTAAATTTTGTGGTATCAGGCATGGCAGTTTCCAAATGTAAGTATAACTAGTATTGCTTAATTTGTTATAATATCCTCCCGTATGATGTAACGATTAAGGAATAGTGTATTACGGGTAAAAACAGTAAGCACTAAAAGGTAGATGAGACAGAATGAATTGTGAAAAGAAAAACGATGTAAAATAAAATGCGTGCTGAACGCCTAAACAGTGTTTGCATTGGGATTACGTAAAACAGAAATCGCCTTCACATAATAATAGTGCTGATCAGTAAAATTCCATCTATGCGTGTCACAAATTACAAAAGCCTTAGAAAAACGGGAACAAGATATTTCGTGTGCCGCAGCATAAATGCTATTGATTTGTTAACCTCGATCCAGTGATCTAAAGTAACGGCCGATCATATGTACTCGCGACATGATTGTAAGTGCAGCCAGTGATAGGAATGTTTATTACATCCTCTTCACTTTGACAAATGCTGCTTTATTCTGGAACATAAGTGGTATTGGCTCTACTTGTAAAACTAGCTCCACTGTTAGTTATTAATTGCAGTACGCAGTTGGATTTGTCTATCGTAAGCTGAGGTTCCTTCAATGGTGGCAGCTTTTTATTTCGGGCGTTGATAGTAACGTCTACAAAATAGAACATTGGATACTGAATAATAATAAAATGCAAGAAATAGAGAAACCCTTGTGTATATACATCTAATATTTTTAAGCAAATCTACCTATTAGATGCTGATTATTCTCAAAATCTCAAGTCGGCAAAGTGTGAGTCCAGGATTTGCTTAAAATCTGACACCGATATTGCTTCGACCATGTCTGCGGGCGTTGTTCTGAATATTCACCACCTGCTCGAAGACGAGTTGCTGAGTGACCCGCCCCCAGTGCCATACGACAAGCTTGTACTGGTGGCCTTGTGTGCTCCTTGGTGTGCACAGATGAAGCAGCAGCCTAAACTTGGTGTATTAAACTAGATGTAAAATCCGGTGCGTCATCATGAGGTCAACCCTAGTCTCTTGCGCCGGTCTTCATATGGCACACCACGTAAATCGGGGAT